ATTGCAATCATTCACTTAAAAATAGAATGTATATACATGGTAATTTTTACACTGTTTGAAAGAATTTGCTTGGGTATCTAAGTTGTAAGGGGAAAATACAGAATACACAAGAGTGATATATCTGGATTGATGTAAGAAAATAGAGAGATGAGAGAGAGATAATAGAAAGACCTTAAAGGTGTGTGTGTGTATTTCCCTTTATCACGAGCCAAAGAGAGTTACATTTTGCCCTACTTCTTGGCATCAGAGAATTAAGTTTTTCTTCCTCAGATAGAAAAGTGAAATTCAGTGATTAGTTCACTGACTCCGTGGCTTCCCCTCAATTCCTGAGCTGCTGAAGACTGGTCCTCAAGTAGCAAGATTGACCACATATTAGGACACAATGCAATTTACAATAAACCTAAGAAAACTGAAATAAACTACATTCTATCAGAGAACAGTGGAATAAACATGATTAGTAAAAGTAAGAGAAAGCATACAAATTCAGAGAAAATAAACAACATACTACCTTAGTGAATGATAATTGGGCCAAGGAAAAAAATGTAGAATTAATTAAAAAATTCCTAGAATTGGGTCTGGAGAGACACATCATAAGCATACAGTTTGCTCTTGTAAAGGACCTAGACTTGGTTCACAGCATCTTCATGGTCATTCATAACCATCCTTAACTGCAGTTACAAGTGATCTGATGACCTCTCTGATCTCTGTGGGCACTAGGCATGTATGTGGTACACATACAAACATGCCAGAAAAACACTCACATACTTAAAAAAATTAGTGCATCTAAAAATACTTTTTCCAAATAATAGAACATACCAAAGTCTATGGGACACAATGAAAGCAGTCATGAGAAGAAAGTTTTTAGTATTAAGTACATATATAAAGATATTTGATTGATCTCAACTAATTACTTGAATAAGAATCTGAATGTCTTAGAAAAACAAGAACAGAAGACACACAAAATGTAGATGGGAAGAATTAATAAATAAATTCTAGGGCTAAAATTAATGAAAGTGTAATGAACAAAAAAAAACATGCAAAGAATCAATGAAACAAAGACTTGGTTTGTCAACAAGAATTGACAAACTTTAGCCCACTTACCCAAATTCATAAAATCAGAGAAGAAGAGAAGACATTACAACAAGCACTGAGGAAATTCAGAGAGTTAAAAAGACAAGTGAGGTCATGGATCTTGCAGGAGAACTTAACAACCACCACTTTTTTTTGTTTTTTTTGAGACAGGTTTTCTCTGTGTAGCTTTGTGCCTTTTCCTGGAACTCACTTGGTAGCCCAGGCTGGCCTCGAACTCACAGAGATCCGCCTGGCTCTGCCTCCCAACAACCACCACTTTATAAAAGTAGCATAATTTCTAACTCTATCAAAAATTTATATTCTAATACCTAAAATTAAATGTATCTCTCATACCTTGATAGAGAAAATTCTTGAAATTGACAGAAGCCATTATGAAAAACCACATCTAATCAAAATGCAGAATAAAACTCATCATGTGGTCTGACCAGAATTGATACATCTAAAACACTACTCCTGCACCTAAGGCTCAAGTAACATTATAGAAGAAGAGCCAGAAAATTTGAAGAGACAGAGAAATAGTCTTCAAATTTTCTGGCTCTTCTTCTATAATGTTACTTGAGCCTTAGGTGCAGGAGTAGTGTTTTAGATGTATCGACAGAGAAATAGGAAATCTGCTATAACATTGCTTCTACTAGAAATCTCAGGGAAGCTACGCCCATGAAATCTCAACACCATGGCAGTCTAAACAACACTCAACAAAGAAGAGACATCAAAAAACATGCTAACATGAGAGAGAAAAATTTCCCAGGGTTCCAACTCTAGACAAGGAAGTAGAGGCAATGCTAAGAATAGGAGCAATAGATCTCTAGGGAAGAATCCCCCAATTGATTATTCAATACTATGTACTCAGCCCTGAAATAATAGAAATTTAGAAATACACACACACACACACACACACACACACACACACTTCTTTTTTAAATAAAACTATGAACTTGGGAGAAGGGGGCACATGGGAAGCATTGACAAGGGAAAAAAGAAGGAGTAAATGCTGTGGTTATATTTTAATTTCAAAATAAAAAATTGTTAAATAAATAAAAGTGTATGAAATGCTTATAATCTGAAATGAGATAATGCAAATCTAGAGAACCAGCAATACATGAAAAGGGTCAGGGTTAAACAATGATGCTATTGCTTTTCTGTTGGGCATGTGCCTGAGTTGTAAACTCAGTATCTCCATGTGTAAATTAAAGAAAATTGAACTTCAAATTTATTTGGAATCTAATAAAAATAAATGATCAGAAAAAGAAGTTTGAAAGCTCATCTCAATAACCTCAAAAATGTTTTGGAATAAATACAACTAAGGACCTGAAAGATGTTTGCAATTGAAACTTTAAGAAACAGCACACACATTTGCACATGCACACTTACCAAGGCCTTTAGCAAATTTATCAACAACTGCGTTCCTTTCCCTGCCTGAAAATTTCTCCCCATGATCAATCAAAGCTTCCTTCACTGCCTCAGAGGCATAAGACACCACAATGGCATCTGTGCCCAAGAACAGAGTGTACAGAGACCATAAGCTTCTGAGAAATAGAAATAGGAAGAAAAATACAAATTTTACTAAAAAAAGGTCACCTTAGATTCTATAGTCAGTATTATTTAGACTGATATTATTTTATTTTATGTTTTTATCTAGGCAAATTCAGTTTGAAGTCTGTTTACACCTTAGATTATGATTATTATCACGTATGACTCACCTTTAGTGTGCCAGGTAATCACCAAGTCAGTTTATACACAGATGACAATGAATCCTCACACTGAGACATTCAACAATTCTTTGTCATGTTTCACATGTTTCACTGAAGTAAGAAAATCCCATGTTCATTTTCAGGGCCATACTGCATATGAGTAAACATTCAAAATACAACGACCTAAATATTCTTTAACTTGAAATTAACAAATTTCCTCATTACAAATTTCCTGACAAGGACTAAATGCAAAAGGCAGAAAAGATACAAAACTTTACAGCTTTTGATTTATGATCATTTATTACAATATTGTCTCTGGTCAGTAACAGAATTTCATTGAAAACAATATTAGACTTACCCGTGTTCGCAAAGTACTGGAAGAGCATTAAGCATTTTTACATTAGTTAAGGATTGGCAGATGTCCTTCATACTTTTCTGGAGGAAAATACCAATAATTGGAAGAGGAGTGGATCAGAAGAGAGCTCCCCTCTTCCAGAGATCTATCTCCAGATTGAGAGGAAAGCAGACAGGACAGACTGAGCACCAGGACAGTGACTGGATCCGTGGAGACTCTTCTCACTGACACAGCTGTGATCAGGCAGCACAAAGCTTTTATAATACAACTGCAGAATTAACATGTTTCACTTTGGGGCATTGTTGAATAATCAATCAGACCCTGAATAAGCTCTTGCCCAAGTAGACTTTGTCCAAATGATAATACAAAACAAGGTCTTCTTTAACCATCCCTTCTTTATAGGATGCCCATTAGAGATTTTCACTTAATTTTAATGAGTGTTGACCAAATATTGATAACAAAATGAACAAAAAATTTCAGCTATGCTGGAAAAGCACAAGTTAATTTTTATAAGTTATTTCATTTTATGAGATTATAGTAGATTTACATTATTTACTCCTTTACTCTACACCCTTCAAACTCTGCCATTTAGGTCCCTTTGCTCTCTTTCAAATTAATGGTATCTTGATGAGAGAGAGGAGAGATACTGCAGGTGAGGGACATCAAGATCATGATGGGAGGATGTGCAGAGATGACAGACCACACTAGTGGAAACCCATGAACTGTGGACTGGTGGCTGTGGATCCCCCATGGGACTGGACTAGGCCCTCTGGACACGGAAGATGGTTGTTTGGCTGGAACTGTTTGGGTAGCACCCAGGCAGGGGGATTGGGATCTGTCCCTGGTGCATGGGCAGGCTTCTGGGAATCCGGTGCCTGTGGTGTGACACCTTGCACAGCCTTGGTGCAGTAGGAAGGGGCTTGGACCTGCCTAGGCTCAGTGTGCTGGGCTCTGCTGACTCCCCATTGGAGACCTCTATTTGGGGGATGCGGGGTGGCTTGGGAAAGAGGGCTGGGGGTGGGAGGAGGGGGCGGGGAGTCTGTGGATAACATGAGGAGTGAGTAGAAAATTTCTTAATAGAGACAAATAAAATAAAAAAAGAATACTCTAAAAATAAACTTCTAAAATTGAAATTAAAAAAACATTAATGGTGTCTTTTTTCATTAATTCTTATTACATACATACATGTATGTTTGTATATTTATAAATGTGTGAATATAATTATATATCCAAAATATATGTGCATGTGTATTTATAAATATATAAATACAACATGATGAGTCAGATCAATATTACTTGTATGTATAATTTCATATTTGGTATTGCATAGTCAATTGGAGCAGTCCTCCTCGGACAAGAAAATTTCTTCCCCTCACAGCTGTACTTAATGGCTTTCAAATTTTGGTATAGGGTAGATGCCTTGTACTTACTTATAAAATGATGTTATATGCAGTCAGGTATAAATTGATTTTCCTTTTAAATTTTTGCTTAATTATTTTGCCTTTATCCGATATCAAAACTGCCCAAACTATATTGAATATGAGGGGAAAGACACTGTTCATGCCTCACTTTTCATTATAGACCAGGTACACGAATCACTTAAGTGTGCATCTTCTGATGAATGGATGAAGAAACATGGTCCATGCACATGATCGATTTCTTTACCCTCATTCAAATGTGGCCTCACCTCTGACATGAATGGAAGTGGAAATTCTTGAATTAAGGAAAATACAACAGACACAGAAGACAAGTACAATATTTTGTCACTAATGTGGAATATTTATTGAAAAACTTGACCTCTAGAAATCTAGAGTGGATTGTTAGTTAGTAAAAGTTATGTATAATAGAGAGGTGGTGGAAGTGTGAATGGTCAATCCACATGGTAGCAAATTCCAGTATTTTATGAAACAGAAGTTTAATATAAATAATGATAAAAACATAAGGTATATTTCCAAAAACAAGAAAAGTTTGACTGCCAAAATATAAGTTGTTTAAGAATATAAATATGCTTAATCTGCTTTTATTTTGATTTTTAAATTATTTATTTCACTTTTTGAGATTACAACATACATATATCATTTCTCCCTTCCCTTGATTTCCTTCAAATTCTCCAACATACTCTTTCATTTCTCTATAAAATTCATGGCCTCTTTTTTCACTAATAATTGTTGTATACATATATTTATGTGTATATTCATACATATTCCTGATACATAAATGCAACTTGCACAGTCAATATGATGTTACTTGGATGCATGTTTACAAGTAATATTGTATAGGTTTTGAAGATTTACTTTATTTTATTTATTGTTTGTGTCTGTACTTGTTTGTGTACTTCTAAGCAGGTGTCTGAAGAGGTCAGAAGGGTGTGTTGCACTCATGTTGCTTGAATTATAAGACTTTTGTGAACTGCCAGATGTGGGCAATGGAAATCTTACTCCATTCCTTTCCAAGAGCAGTAAGCCTCTTGACAGCTTATCAGTTTCTCCTACCCCACTTTTCAACACTTCCTTAAAATTAAATGAAATAAAAGGTAATTCTCTCTTGTGGTTTTAATATTTTAAAGTCTTTGCTGTGATATACTTTAGTGGAAATATATCTAATTGTGAAAGATATATTTGAATAATTTTCAAAGAACAACTTTTTGTACCACAATCATTTGTGTAGATTTCATAGCTTGTGTGAATTTATGCTTGTGTGCTCATGCATATATAGGCATATGGCTGCATTAGGCACTGATGAGGAGGCATAGAAAACCAGACGAAGTGGTTCCTTTGGGACTGAGACAGGAAGGTCTAATGAGTGATGTCACTTCTCATTTAGTAACATTCAATGCAGTGGGAAGGGAATGTAGCATCTAGAAGTAATAGAAAGGTGATGCAGCGTGGTAATTTATTTTGTTTAGAGAGAAGAGAGGAGCTCAGAGTATATGAGTAGCAATTGGAAAAGAAAATACATCTTCAGCTCTAAGCCAGAAACAGCAATTCAAAAATATATTTAAATTGTTTCTGTTTTGTTCCTGATGCCAGCAGGACCTGACCTTCATTCTGCATGTGTATTCTTCTCTGTGACTTGTCTTCACCCTGTTTCTCTAAAGGATGCAGTTACTCCTGGTAACTAATTGTCTGTATCAAATACAAATACTTCCAGGAGCTTCAGGAGGCACTCAGCCAAAGACCGTTCTCATTCCTTCCTCCCCACTACCTTCTCTTTCATATGTGTGCATAGAGGAAGAGTGCACACTGGTGTGTGTGTGTGTGTGTGTGTGTGTGTGTGTGTGTGTGTGTGTGAGCATGTGAGAGCCAGCGTTTAATACTGGTGTTGCTCCTTGGGAGCTCCAAAGATTGGTTTTTGTACAAGGCATCCCACTGGGACCTGGAGTTTGTCAATTAGGCTGGATGAATAGCTAGACCCTGAGATGCTTCTGGCTCTGCCTCCCACTTTGGTGTAAGAAGTACTTGCCATCACCTCTGTCCATTAAGATATGTATTGGGTATAGACTTATGTTCTTAGACCTGTATGGTAAGAACACTGCTGACTGAGCAATCTCCATAGATTCCTCCTCTACATACTCTATGCTTCTTGAGATGTGGAGCAGAAAGACCTTCAGAGACTCTGTTTTCTTTCATTTTTAGATGAACTGAAGGCAACTCTGAGAAGAGTCATACAAACTGATAATGTTATTATCAGTAACATGTAGAAAGCACACACATAACTATGAATTATTATATGGTAAGAATTTATCTGTTTTTACATGAAAGTCATATTAATTATGTAGATTTCAGTGCAGGTGAGCACAAGGGATAGTAACAGTGTAACAGAGACTATGGAATGATAGGAAGAGTCTTCAGAGAATTTAAAAAGGAGAACTGATATTCCTGGGCCTTGCCAGAATGGAAGCTGTGAGAAGAGGGAAGGACTCAGTGTCCCCACGGGGAAAGTGGTAAAGGTAGGCTTTGGGATTTGAGGAAACAACACAGCAGGAGCCAGGCATCTGATCTTCTTCAGACCTGACTGAAGCAGAGCTGTAAAGAAGGAGGCACTGAAGCCAATCCCCTGACCACTGAGGTTGTATCAATGTCTTTTGAGTGAATGGGAGGTTTCAGCTTGAAGTTCTGCAAAATGTTGGTCAGAAAGAGAAACAACTCCATGCGGGCCAGGCTCTCTCCTGCACACATCCGTTTTCCTGAGGGGGAAAAGAGACAAATAAGATAACTGTGCCTTGTACATAATGAGTGTAAGATGCACTGTTTTATAACTAACACAAGAGAGTAAGAAAACTGTAGAGTTATTGGATGGATGTGTGGTTAGATGAATGAATGGGTGAGATAACTAGTTTGTGACAGGCATCCTGATTGGTGGAAAAGCAGGGAACCCTGTGATCAGCTCATTGTTTCTTGCCACAACTACAAGGATTCCATCCATGGTGATCTGGAAGTTTCTTACATTCTGAGCTGAAAGAAAATGTCCTGCTTCAATACTTTGTTCCCTTTTTAAAATAATTATGTGTAGAGTGTTTATAGGTGTGGAAAAATGAGCATGTCAAAGAGTTGTCCGGGAAGATTAAAAGATTATACCAGATCCCCTGGAGCTGGAGATACAGGTGGTTGGAAGCTGCATGAAGTTGGGTACTGGGCATTAAATTCAAGTCCCTTGCAAGAGCAGCAAGTTACCTTGAATGCTGAACCCTCTCTCCAGTCACTCCTTACTAATATAAAACTAAGCTGTCCCAGCAAAATTTCCACAAAAGACTGGGAATGTACTTGCATGGTCTCACCCCCTATCTGAGGATCTATTGGCCATTGATAGCTGTTAGGAGACAAAGAGTCAGTTTTCATCATGGACATGGCCTAGGGAATTACCCAAGTTTACAAGGATATGATTAATTCCATGCACTTATATGCATCATGCAGTGCACTTAATGGGTTAAAAATAAAGTATATGAAATTGGGAGAGAGAATGAAGATGGGAATAGGAGAGAAATAGTGACGTGGTTTTGATCAGAAATATTTTATACATGATAGAAACTCAATAAAACCGTATCTTAAAGTAACATGCAATTTTTCTGTTCTCTGTTACTCATGTTTTTTGAGGTAGGGACAGAGTTATTAATTAGAATGTTGATTCATTTTTTGTTTAATATATTAAGTTTTAGAATACAAAAATGAATGAACTCACCCCAACAGCCCTCTTGCCCAGTGATATGATATTGTCTCTAAACACAAGTCCAACTGTATCATCATGTTCACTCATCTGTTTTCCTGAGTGGGCTTGAGTCCCACTGGGGTTTTTCTGTATTTTTGGAAATGTGTTTCAATATAACTGAGATTGGATACAAGCTTCACAGCAAAAGAATAAAGTCAAATAATGATAGAGTCTTTATTTTTTTATTTTTTGGTTTTTCGAGACAGGGTTTCTCTGTGTTGTTTTGGTGCCTGTCCTGGATCTTGCTCTGTAGACCAGGCTGACCTGGAACTCACAGAGATCCTCCTGGCTCTGCCTCCCCAGTGCTGGGATTAAAGGCATGAGCCACCACCGCTTGGCTAGAGTCTTCGTATTAATAGTGAAAGATCAAAGGTTAAGTGATCTTTATAGGTTGATGTCTTTGGTCTCTGTGTTGTATGTAAAGGAAGAACACAAATGGTCTACAGGCTAGCTTTCTTTACTTGAAGGAAAATTGTAAACAAACAAAAACCTAAATATTTTATTCTTACAGGGAAGAAGTCTCATCATCAAGGACAATTCACTGAAACTGGGAGACATGCATGTTTACCAGTCTCTTGGGAGACACTGTATAAATTTCCATAGATCCTAATGTCACAGGAGCCATGGAAATGAATTTCTACTACCTATTGAGAAGGGTATGAAGTAGTCACTTTTCTTAAAGTTTCCATTCTTGTCAAGAAGGTGGCCAGGGTCAAACATTTCTGGGTTGGGGAATTCCTTGTTGTCACGCAGCACTGATGACAGTGATATTAAAATGTTTGTTCCCTGCAAAAAACATACATAGAGACACTAAGTTACAAAGAAATATGGAGCTAAACTCATAGGGGTAATAATACAATTCAACTTCTGCTCCATAAAAGGGGCTAAGTGCAAAGAACAGCAGGGACATTTCAACACACAAAGCAGGTAAGGAGCAGGGATGAGTCTGAGAGTAGTCACAGTGATGTTGCTAATGTGCCTCTAGGGATGTTTGAAGTCAGCACTTGAGCATTGAGTGTAAGTCTTCTAAGTCTGTTTTTTTCTTCAGGTTTGGATATGTGTGTCTCACCACCTGCTGCTCCAGTTGATTTATGTAGTTTTCATAAATCTCATGGATTATGGTTCCAAATGGAGAGCTGAGTTGTATGCAAATGGAACAGGAATTCACTCACGAAGCAATGTGTATAAAGAAAAATATTATTTTCTGTTATGGATATAATCCAGACATAGATGTAGGTGTCATATATCTTGGAAGGAAGAGTCTACTCTCATATATGGAATTTATATATAAACACACACACACACACACACACACACACACACACACACACACACACACACACAAGGCAAAACGGGGACATTTTTGGAGGGAAGGGGGACTAAGGAAATGGAGTAGTAAGAGGGAGACATTAAATTAAATATATCATGATGATTATGTTCTACGTATAATGCTAAATAAAAATGATTCTGGAGAAGTGTGTAAATGGCTAAGGATGTTACTTCTAGCTTTCTTCCAATAATACAAAAACCTACCCTGTATCATTTCAAAATTTCTGGAAGAACAACATGTAATCTACAAAGCTTTCACAAGACTATATCCTGTATTAGCTTATCAACTGAAGTAAATAATCTGAAAATTAAAAAAAAACTAAAGGATTATTTTTGCAATGTGGAAAGTATTTGAAAATTAAATGCTAATCTCAATAATTTTTGAAAACACCCATTCTCATTTGTAGACACACTATCTATGACTGCTTCTTGCTACAATGGCCAAGTTCATAGTGCTGACACAATCCTCATTGGTTAAAAATTCTGAAGCATTGTCCACCAATCCAATTATAGGTGAGGATTATTTAATGTTGCCTTTGCCTATATCTGTACTAATACCAGTGGTCCCATCTGGTAAACAAGTTACTTACCTGATTTTTAAGTGTGTAGAGTCAGCCATAGATTCATGATTATTTCTGTGTCAGACAGTTCCAGGAAGGGAAAGAATACTATTCTATTTCACAAGACCCAGAGAATAATCACATCATGAGCTACCAGCAGAGAGAGGCAGACTTATAAAGGCAGCACCTGACCCAAAGCAAGATTCATCCTTATGAAGGAATCTGGAATGTAGGTCATTCCTGTCTCTTTCTTCAGTCTATTTACCATTTTGTTATGTATAAGGATATATATTAAGTATTGTTATACTCTGCATAGACCTCAATAATAAGAACCACAAATCATATCTGTGGAGAGTATTATAGCCACATATTAATCTAATAAAAACACTTTTCAAATCTTTTAAAAGCATCGGACATGACAGGGAAATATTGAAATTACACTGTTCAGAAATAAAATGAGTACTCACACTAGGGTAATTGGACTCATTCATTCATTTATCTTTCCCACAATATTTGAGTCAATTTCATGTTGGGAGGGTTTCATGCATCCACAGCCTAATTCACTAATTCCCGTTTCTGTGTTCCTTTCTATTCTCTAGTTGGACCCAAATTTGTAGTGGTCTGATTCTCTTTTACAAATATTTGATGTTGGAGAGCATAGAAATTAAAATACAATTCTGTTTAGTGCTATCTGAAATTCATCAGTCAATTCAATAATAACATGAACTAAAATAAAGGACAAGAATATATAAAGTATACTTAAAAATACTAACCAAAGAAATACCTCAAAATTCCACATACACTTACAGATAAAGCACTAGTTGCATGTAGCAGAATACAAAAGGTTTGGTAAACTAATGTCAACACCATAATTGAATCCATTGTTTTATAAACCAAATCAAAGGAATTAGGGAAATTCTAGAAAAAGATAATCAGAGAATATTCATTGTTCAGTAAAATTCTAAGAAAATATTTACAGTATACATCATTGAAAGAAATGCTTATGAAAGAAATAAACAAAGCATAAATTAACAATAGATATAATCTTTTAATGAGTTGAAGGATTCAGGATATAAACTCCTTCCAATTGTTTTGAGAATTTTTTTCTCTATGGTAAAAATCCCAAGAGTTTTTAGAGAAATTTGACACCAAGTTGGCGAATATGCATCGAATTAGAAAATCCTAAGCCTTGTCAAAGAAAACTTTGAAAGGCAGAGCAAACACAGAAGCATCACAATCATGTCCCTGCCTGCTGTAGAGCTATCCTCCTGATCAGGAAGCATCATAAGTCACCTGCAGCACAGTGTGACTCAGCAGACTGGAACTACACTGTGATCTGGGAGATCAAGAACTCAGAGGTGCAGCAGAGAAGAGACAAGCTTACCTTGGGGATGAAGTAGTTCCTGAACTTAATGTCACAGGTTACTGCACGTGGCATATTGCTGGGGACAAGATTAATGCATCTCTGGACCTCATGAATCATGGCATCTGTGTAGGGCATGTGGCTCCTGTCCTTCATGCAGGGGCTGCGGTGTCGACCAACCACACGATCAATCTCTTCCTGGACTTTTTCTAATTATAACCAAGAAATGATGGAATAGCAGGAAAAGTAGCATGTTTGTCGCAATAAGTCAAGGTCACATAATGCAAGACCAAGGTGCCCCAGCATTATAAGTATAAATTTTGTAAAAATTCTTGGGGAATACATTTGGATATACATGATGTTAAGATATGGATTCACACCACTCTCATACTACATGTCATCTATTTTCTATGTATAAGTGTGCACTTGCATGTGTTCATGTGCGTGTACATTTATTCAGGTGCATGTGCACATGTGTACACTGTATGTGGAGGGAGGATGGAAATCTCAGATGTTGTTCTTCAGAACTCATTTCCTTTGTTTCCACATAAGGTCTCAGGGTCTGCAGCTTTCGGGTGGACACCCTGCCCAGCGTGGCCCTCAGTTTTTGCTGTCTCCATCTCTCCAGTGCTGACATTACCAGTTGTGTCACAACATCAGGCAATTTTACAGGCGTTCAAGTGAAATTGAGAAGTTTGTCACACTAATGAAGTACCACACAGGACAAGAAAAACATGCCTCATCCTTATAAACATACATTCCTTGCTCAGGAGGAAACATATATGTATACATATGTGTATATATATGTATATATAATTTTCTGACATAAATATATAACGCTATTATATAGAATAGAAATTATGATTCATTATAATATACTAATTACTTAGTGCCATAATAGAAAATAATATGTGAAGTAACTAAATATTTCAAACAATGAAACATAGTTAAATTAACCAGATACTATAGTCATTAGTGAAAGACAACAGAAATCAGTTATTAAATGTGTGTGCATTTGCACAATTTTAAATGATACTCCAGCTATGTTCCACTTATCCAAAAGTGGTCAGTTTCAACAAGTACTTGTGAAATATATTCATATTTTAAATGGCAACTGCTTCTTATATACTCAAGAATACACAATATTTTTTGAGTTATTGATATAAGAAGTGAAAATATTATAAATAAATACTACATGTAAATGAATAACTACAAATAGATAATGAATGGATGTATATATGCATAAGCACGTGTGCACATGCACACACACACGCAAAATATATACACTATAAACATGCAACCTGTCACTTCCTTAACAAGAGATATTGGGTTATAATACTTAGTTAAACCAATATTCATTGTAGGGAAAATTGTCCTTACATTAATATTATTCTCTATTACAAAAGTTACAGTAAGTTTCATTAGTTATACATTTTGTGACTGATGAATGCATTTAGTTTATGTTTTCCACTTTGTGAGTTAGCATTATTTATAAGTATTCAATGTTGTGGGATATTCAATCTCACTGTGACCCCCAAGTTTGTGTTTATGGTAATTAAATAAAATCAACCTTGGTCAGGAGGCCAAATTAGCAACTGGTAGACAGAAAGAAATCACAGAGAGTCATAGGGTGTCTGTAAGATGATAAAGAGATGCACAGGAAGTAGTAGGGAGGGACTTAGTGGATTGTGGGTTCTTTTGTTTGGCAGAGTCAAAGGAGGCTATCTTTCAGAGATGCTGTCAAAGAAAAAAGATCAGCCGGTTGCTACTCAAGCTCTGAGCTAGCAGATTTTCACCCTAGCCTTTGACTCCTGGGTCTTATTGATAAACAGAAAGAGAGATTTAATTAAAAGCTATATTTGGTGCCTTCGGGAACAGAATTCCAGCCAGATCGAGGCCCAAGCAGCCAGGCTGCTGCCAGGGAGGCAAGCCAGTAACTGCAGAGCTGCATTTGCTGGCAAAAATAGCAGTAGATAAAAGCACAGCCTTTGCGTCAATGGAAAAACAGTAATTGTAGAGGATGCTTCAGCTCCTGGCATAAAAGCTCAGTTGATGGGGCCATCACACTACACATTACTTCTCTTTATCCTTCATTCGCTGTTCGTATCAGGATAAATACAGAACCAGAAGCTTTCTAAGTCTGGTTTCCAAATATCATTCTGAAACCATCACCTTCTCTCCCAGGTTGTGCAGATTTCTGCAGTCCTTGACTTCCTGGGATGTTGTTTTACACAACAGGATATAAAAGATCCTTCAGAATTTCATAAAGAAAGCAAAAGTAGGGTTAAAATTTCAGGTATGTGTGGGAGTTTATTTCTGCAATTTTTAAAATCAACAATTAAGATATCACAATGTGAAAAGTATATATGTGAATCAGGCATTTCCTTAGAGGAAATATTAGTTGTGGGATATTAGTTTAAAATGCATTACATTTGTTTGTGCTGTGGAATATTTGTTTAATGATGCAAAGATGTGTTGCATTCTTTTATGTTGCATTTGTGTAACTCTATAAAGCCGTGTTACTTTGTCTGTCTAAAACACCTGATTGGCCTAATAAACAGATAAAAGGCCAATAGCCAGGAAGGAAAGAGAAAGAATAGGGCTGGCATGCAGAGAGAATAAATGGGAGGAGAAATCTAGGGAAAAAGAAAGCAAAGGGAGAGGAATGAGAAAAGGAGAGGGAAAGCTGCCAGGGGCCAGGCACTCAGCCACACAACCAGTCACAGAGTAAGAAGGAAAGAAGAGTACATAGAATAGAGAAAGGTAAAATCCCAGGGGCAAAAGGTAGATGGGACAATTTAAGTTAAGGAAAGCTGGCTAGAAATAAGCCAAGCTAAGGCTGGACATTCATAATTAAGAATAAGTTTCTGTGTATTTATTTGGGAGCTGCATGGTGGGCCCCCCAAAGAGTAAACAAACAAACAAACAATACAATACAACTACAGTTTAGTGCTTTTGTTTGGCTCTGGTGTTTTGATATTTCATCTTTGTCTTTTATTCGTAATTCCATTATTTCTAATTAATATTTAGGAAGAATTGTCCATGATGATGGTAAAATACAGAGAATATTACATTGTATTCCAGACTAGAGGCTAGATTCATCTAAGTCCTCATTCCAGTCTGAGGAAACAAGACGAGCTGAGGATCTGGCGAGGTGAGGTAGCTGTGGCTTGTTCTGGTTCTCTGATCTTCCAGTTCACCCCAATACCTGGCTCAGGTTTGATTTAATTAATAAGACCTTTTAAGATTCATGCTGCATCTGGGGCCCAACGTTCGTGGTACAAATTCATGAAAAAGCTGCTTGCCTGTGGCCTTGTGGGCCCCAGTTCAGGCCCGAGCTATACTCAGCCGGTTGTGGCGGTGCACGCCGGTTGGATTTGCTGAAGGAGGCAGAGGCAGGAGGATCCTGACTTTGAGGCCGGCCTAGGAGGCTTTCTAAGGAGAAGTTTCGGCCAGGGCTGATCCACAAACGGTGGCAGTGGGACATGGAGGCAGCGGCTGCTGCTCTGAATTGCTGGCTTCATCTCATCGTGTTGGTGACTGCGTTGGTGCTGCTACCTAGGACGAAGGGTTTACTGCTGCTTGTTCAGAGAAGAATTTCCAGGACCATCGTGTTACAAGAAAGCATCGACAAAGGTCAGTTTGGAAAAGTTTGGCGAGACAAATGGTGGGGAGAAATTGCTGTGAAGATTTTCTGTTCTAGGGAAGAATGGTCATGGTTCCGAGAGACAGACATTTATCAGACTGTGATTACTCCAAACCACAGAGGAGGCACAAAAAAAGTCTGCAGTGAACCATGACCACACCTAACAGTGACTTTGAAATCTTCAAAAAGATGACAGGATCCCACAATGATGATTCCACAAGGACTATAGTAAAGCCATTAAACTGATTAACACCACAGAAAGATTTGCTTTGGACTACAAACTACTTAGGACAATTTTGAGATGGCTAGCTGAGATGATCCAGCCTGACAGACTATTCGAGCAAGGACTTGAAACAAGCCCTGCACTTTCTCTTGTCCCTGCGACTGGACAAATGATATAGGACTTGACAATTAACCCCACAATTTTCTTTTCAGGATTCCCTAAAGATATCTTTGCCCCTAGAAAGCAGGAAGTAATTTTAAGAAAACGATGCCCACATTCCCAAGAGGTGGGATGAGAGGTTTTTGGTCGTTTGAGTTATGGATATTGTCATTGTTTATGATGATTGGTTACAAGTTGTTAATTGTTAATGGTCAGGAAAAAAGCTGAACAAGGAGATTAGATTCAGAGTTTTTGTTTAAAAAAAAAAAGATAAAGAAGTAATAGGATAAATGGGTAGATCACTGAATCTACACTAAAAAGAAAAAGGGGAAGATATAAAAATGACAAAAGATAGATTACTGAATCCATTATGAAAATAAAAAATACTTTTAAAAAGGAACTACTTGTTTTAAATAAGATAAGTAATGAAATTTTTTGTCTGAATTTGTCAAATGTTACTGGACTGGACATTGTTATATATTAATGGAGTTTTTTATCTGAATCTGTCAAATGTTAATGGACTAGACATCGTTAATGTAATCTTGACTGTGTATATTGTATATACTTACTGGATGTAATTTTTCTTGCATTAGTTATAAGCTTTTTTTAATTTAAGACAAAAAAAGGGAAATGTGGTGGTATTGTGTTCCCCCAAATATTGTGCACCCTAATAAATTTATCTGGGGTCAGAGAACAGACAGCCGCTAGATACAGAGGCTAGAAAATGGTGGCACTTACGCCTTTAATACTAGCATTCCAGAGGCAGACATCCATCTGGGATCTCTGTGAGTTCAAGGCCACATTGGAAACAGCCAGGCATGGTGACACATGCCTTTAATCCCAAGAAGGGAGCCTTTAATCCCAGGGAATGGTGGTAGAAAGCAGAAAGGTATATAAGGAGTGAGGACCAGAAACTAGAGGTATTTGGCTGGTTAAGCATTTGGCTGGTTAAGCTTTCAGGCTTTTGAGCAGCAGTTCAGCTGAGACCCATTCTGGATGAGGACTCAGAGGCCTCCAGTCTGAGAAAACAAGACCAGCTGAGGATCAGGTGAGGTGAGGTAGCGGTGGCTTGTTCTGGTTCTCTGATCTTCCAGTTCACCCCAATACCTGGCTCAGGTTTGATTCAATTAATAAGACCTTTTAAGATTCATGCTACAGATTCAGATGTAGATATTCATGAA